GAATCTACATATTAAAAAGTGCGTGCTAAATTTTGTGTAAAAACCTAAAATATGCATATGCAAGAGCTTAATATGAATTGCATGCAGTAAGTTACACTGTTTAAACTCATCTGTTGAAAATGCCCCAAAATACACAATTACAACTAAAACTCCCAGACCTTCTTTGGGAGGACGGGGAAATGAACCAATATTAGGAAATGCCGACTGCTCTCTCCCTTACTCCTAATCTCAGAATTGGGTCCAAGCACGTAGTGCTACTTCTCACAAGAGGTTAAAGGCACCAGTGTCGTGAACATTACCTCGTTTTTGTCTTGCTTGGCTGGTCCTGGGTTCTGTGATCCATTTGCAGGTTCTTTTTCTGAACCTGAACTCTGGCCCACCTGCTCACTGCTTATCGGCCTCTGTGCATCGACAGGCGTATCGCTTCTTTCAGAAAGGCAGGGGTGGGGGGAGAGGCAGAGAGTTGAGGTGGAGGGGTATACATTCTAGAGAAATTGTAATTTTAAAAAATCTAGTGTTTCTCAAATGCAAAAAATAAAGAGTTTCACTTTCATTAACCAAACAAAATGGGCGTACAGCGGAGAAGGACTAGATTATTAAGAAAGAGGAGAGGAGCTCCGGACTAGATCCTTTGTGCCTTGGGAAAGTCACTTCCATTCCCTGCGGCTCAGCTTCACCCACAAACTCGATAGGAGGTTGGATAACTTCATACCCAAACACTCTTTTTGGACTCTCAACCCGGGATTTGTTAGTCAAACTTTTCCCTCTCTCGTATGCTTTTATAAAATTTTACGTGTTGTTGAGACTTTATTAAAAGCTAAACTTACCCCTTTACAGTATTTTTTAATGTATATTAACTAGTAACATTGAGATCTTAAGTCGGGTTGTTCCTAATATTCTTTAAAACACTAGCAATTAGAAAGATATAACTACTCTGTTCAAAATGTTTAATAACTAACATCATGTAAAGATGATGAATGTCACACACATATTATCCACATATTACCTAAGACACCGTGGGAACAACTGAAAAGGAATTTGACTTTGAGTTGTTCATGACAAACAGCCTCTCAGACAGAGCTGCTTGAGACATGAGGGTCTAGGGTTCCTAACAGCAAAGCTAGATGGTCATCTTCAAGAGGGACCTCCGTTAGTCAGGAACCTTGTCATGGAAAGAAACTGCCGAAGAATAGGGTAAAGTCGAAGACAAGCCAAACCCAAGAAAATGTCTCTGGGAGTTATCCTGGACATCATACCATCCCCTCAGGGGACCCCCGCCCACCCTATCTAATCAGTCATTTCACACTGCCCAGGAGCTCCCTCAGCTTCATCACCCCTCTACTCGCTCCATCACCAGA